TGGCATTATTTCTGCTGTTTGGTACAGCCAAAAGGCCCAAACAACACAAATGAATTGTTGAAACACAGTAAGTCAAATAAGCTCAGGTGAAGCCTAGCAAATAGCTAGCTACTTAGTCAGCACAACTGGCCACACCTCTAATAACAGAAACTTTAAGCCTTAACAGAACTTGAATGGGTGACGTATAATAAAAACCTCCATGTTCTCTGATACACACCGACATTGGAACAGTGTCTCGTACCAGGTTAAAAGTTTTTTAATTTCAGCTATAATGCTACAGTCATGCTAGGGAAAATGACAGCTAGAGACCACAGCACAACAAAACATTTTTCTTGATGTATTCAGTGAGTGTGCGATCTTTGAAAAGGTTTGAAAAGGGGACCTTGCAGACAATTGTCGCCTTCAAAGCATCTCCGGTGCATGAAGATTGCGAAAAAGTCAGTAAGACTGAAACAGTCTGCCCAAAGCAGCTCGGAGAGCGAATTTGTTACATTACTCCTTAGATTACTTTCATGTTATTCTGTAACATGACTTTAAATGAACTATCACATAATTATCAATTAAGAACAATAAAGCTTAAGCTAACATGCGGTCACAAATCCCTATGCTAATGAGTGCACGCACAATCTTTCTTTGAGGGTTTTTAAGCTTTAACTAGTGCTGTCAGCGTTGATCTCGTTAAAATGACGTTAACGCCCATAACCGTATTAACCCCGCAAATCTCCGTTAGTGAGTTAGCGTGGATCGCCCTGTGCGTGGGGCTACACGGCGTCAACGCGCTACCGCGGTTAGCGCGTTAACGTCATTTTAACGAGACTAACGCTGACAGCACTAATTTTAACATAGAGTCGACAACACAAAGCAAAGCTGAAAACTACCCCCAAAGACACATCAAGTTGATCGCCACAGTGATTTTACAGTAGTAACATGTACAGTTAAAAATTGAGGCTGCAAGCCTGACTGCTCATCAACACCTTTATTAGCTGTTGAAGTTGAGGCTCTGGTTGCTGGGCTGGGGTCAGCATACACTGAGCTTCTAACCTAACTTCACTCTAGGTTCCTTGCTAGCTTTGCTTTAGCATGCTGTCTGTCCTTGATGCAGTTTAACATCATACTCTTGTCCTTTCTTGTCCTTTTATTGAATAGAAATAAAAACATTAGGCCCCTAAGCAATTGTTCTCATCTCCACACATGAATTGAAATTTTCTGATTGTTAAACAAGACCGCAAGAAGAGAATGCACGTTTGATTTTTTTTTTCTTTCTATCCCCATAAACTGAAGAACCTTTGCAACCCGAGTAGTGACATCATTTTAACTGTACACACATTATTGAAAAATAAAAATGTGATTATAGTTGCGCTTCATACCCAACAGTATGGGGTGCTGTTTGTAAATTGAAACATGTTGAAATTAACAGCAACATTTTTCCACAATTTAGCTGAAAACATTGGAAGATCTGTTTTGTTGGCCATCCAAAGGTTCAGCAGTAGTTCACCCTCAGCAGCTGCAGTCTCCACTTCACAATCGCCGTAGCATATGTGCAGCTAAATTGCTGGACATGCTGGTATGCAAGAAGTGAAGCAGCTCATGGTGTTGAGAAGTGACCAACAGGGAAGAGCAGGCACACAACCTAACCACTACCAGCACACTTTAGCCCTGGAGGTTTTTGTAAAGCTTTTATTTTGGTATTTCCAACATATACAATAAATGTGCATGTTAGCTAAATATTTAGTAAATTTTGTAAAAAGTGACTTGAAAAATATGGTTTAGTAAGGTTTTGAGCTAAATGTGGAAAAATGTTGCTGTTAATTTCAGCTTCAGTTTCAGTTTGCAAACAGTGCCCCATACAACAGTGACCATCAATGTGCAATCAGTCTGCCATCAGATTGCATTTGAATGGAGTCAAGTCGTCAATTACATAAAAGCTGTTTGTGATACTCAGCGATTAATTGTGATAAAACACTGACCTTTCAGTTTGCGATTGACTGTGGTTACCCAGAGGTTGAAGGTGTTACCTTCTTGGCTGATCCAGATTAGCTTCATTTTTCAGCCCCAGAGGATGAGACTTTGTTTTAGCTTGTTTAATTTTAGCTTAGTTGTATATGATGCGTCCACAGACCAACTTTACCATGCCACTGGAGATATTAAATAGATATTTAACTCCCTAGCAGCTAGCTATTTAATAAATTTGGCACACTGGTAAACCACCGGGTAAGCAATATCCTTTATTAATCATTTATTAATCAATCAAAAAATGAAAACCCTCTTTTAGGTTCAGTGACACAGTCAAATTTGCTAGACTAACTAAATGACTCAGCAGTGTCCTGGATAGGCAGAAGCTGTGCCAGCTTGTTAGCGACATGCTACACACTTGTCTGCACACTTGCCTGTCTCACTAAGGATGTGGTAAGACATGCATTTTCATAACAGTCCTACGCAGTAACAAGACTACTTGTGCTGGTCCATATTCATATTCCAGACCAGAATGTGAAAACACCCAAACACAGAAGAATTAAAAAAAAGTTGTTAAGATTTTATATGCCTATTTTTATAGCAGCTAGCTTGCTGTTTTATCTATAAGAGTGTAAGCTAGTCATGGAGGGACTTTTATGTTGCACCCATGGTTTTGTATGAGTGTATGTTGCACCCATACACCCATAAAATGAAGTTCCATTTTCAATTTTTGCATACTCAGTTATTTCCCAAAGGGTCACCATAGCTGATTGATATGCATGACTTCGCAAAGATTCAACACTGAATGTCCTTACTGATGCAGTCATCCCATTTATTTGGGCTTGCAACCAGCACTAGTAGTAGTTAGCTTGAGTGGGGTAGTATCTGAGATCTTTTGCAAGCAAGATGAATGTGTTAACCACTACACCACAGAGGCCCTCGTGTCTGTGCAAATATAGAGGGGGGAAAAGCAAACAAACTGCACTCCACATAACTGCACTTGTGAGTGTTGCTTTGTAGAGCAAGGAACTCTTGCACACAGATGGCACGTGCACCTGGAATGACTTAAGAGAGTACAAGCTATATTCTTATTTCAATTAGCTAGATGGAAAAGAGTGCTGCAAGTGACAGCAATGATCGACTGCAAATGGAAACACTGAGAGAGGCACATCCATCCGCTCTGTTTATCAGCTATTGCCAGTTACCAAAAGTTTATTCTGTTCATCTGGATGTAGCGTTTTCAGTGGGAGAAACGTTTCGTCACTCATCCAAGTGACTTCTTCAATCTCAGCTGACTGCAAGTTTCCCCAAGCTTAACACAGAGCCATTCCCCAACTCTCTGTGAATGGTACTCATGGTCATTGATCAGTGGGCTTTGATTAGTGGTTGTTGATGAATGGTCGTGAGAATTTGCATAATTATGATTAAGGAACTGACCTCCTAGCCCATTGTTCCTTCAGTGGGCTGATTTCAGTCATGATGCAAATGTACTATATAGGGCTGGATCAAGTGACCATGTAACCCTTAGTTACTCAGCAGTAGGCCTGGACTGCTGGGGCTTCCCATGATGCACAGAGTGTTTCTTGTTCACTCAACTCTTTCACTCTCACTACTTTGCATTTAATCATTAGTTATTATTAATCTCTGGCTCTCCTTTACAGCGTGTCTTCTGTCCTGTTTTTCCCCTCAACTAATCACAGCAGATGGCTGCCCCTCCCTGAGCCTGGTCCTGCTAGAGGTTTCTTCCTGTTAAAAGGGCGTTTTTCCTTCCCGCTGTCACCAGATGTTTGCTGATAGGAAGTTATTGGTTGTTGGGGTTCTGCATTAGAAATAGTCTTAACTTTACAATATAAAGTGATTTTGTGATTTTGTGCTGTGTAAATAAAATTGTATTTAATTTTATTTAATTCACAGTAAATTGTGATGACTTATTAGTATAAAGTATTTCAAACTGTACCATGCTTTATAAAAAATAGTCATAGCAAACAATGTATATATATAAAAATAATAATAATAATTTTAATCTATCATAGGTAGTTCCATAGTGTAGTGGTTAACACACACACTTGGCAAGTGAAAATTTCCTGGTTCCATTCCAGCCAGACACAAATCCCCTTTGGAATGTGTCAGGAGCGACATCCACCATAAAACTCTGACAAATTAAACATGCAGCCCCACACACTGTGGTGACCCCTTGTGGTAAGGGAGTAACTGAAAGTAGTTGCGATCTATTATGGGAAGTGTGCTTATTATGTAGTGGAGAATTTTTTTTTTAATTTAAACATTTTATTTGGAAGCCTTAGTTTGTTGTGTGAAATCTCAGCTTATAAAAGAACAATAAAATTACTTTCAAGTATGTTTAATATCAATATGTGCAGTACACTGAGCAAAGGTAATTCCCTGTACCACAGAAAATCACATAGATTCTTCATGTAATTACAGCTGAATCATCTAAAATACATAAGGGCAGGATGTTGTGATACATAAAACCCAGCTCTGGCTTTCATTACCATCTGCTTACACTGATGGCGATCATCTTCAAGTTTTGCTTTGTATGTGCAACACTAGAGTACAAGAGTATATTACATACACAGCAGTACACCAAACACATAAATAAATATAATTCGTTTTTTCCAGGTTGCTGAGAAAACTTATTTTACAAGCTTTCTTTCCAAAAGAGTGTGGGTGCTGTATAAGACAGGTAGAAGCCAGAATCCATATATAATTGATTAGAAAAGGTTCAAAGACAAAATATATTGAACCTGAGAATTATATATTTCAAAAATCTGATAAATAAATAAAGATCTCAATTGATTTTTAAAGAACTTTTTATACACAGCACCCAAACAGTTTTGGGGTTATGGAAAATTACATTTTTTTTTGCATGCTTATAGTAGAATCAAAACCTATTTGGTTAAATAGGATACATTCAAAACACCCACAGTCCTGCCGAAAATGTTAAGCAGCATAACATGTAAAAGAACTGCAGCAATTCTGACAGAAATTGCAGTATGTGTGTGCATATGTGACATTTGTAAGCTGTTCACAGGAACGGGACCATACTGTCAAGTTATGGAAAGCATAGCTCATAAACAGTGCCGTGTTCTGTCTAAGGCTCAGAATTGCAGGTGATATGTAATAAAATACTCTATGATTTAGTTTAGATATGCATTATATACATTCAAGTTTTTCATATTGTTGCATGAGCAGTTTGTGTTCTGCAGATACTAGCATTTGCTGTAGTATCTCATCTTGTGTGCTTGTCATGTTTAGTACTTGTTAAGTAGAGCCTAATAGTGCTACTTAAGATTTAGGATAATCTACATCAATCCTTTTGCTTTTTTTCATTTAGGAGACCTAACCTAAAATATTAAGAATACCCCTCGTTTTTTTCTCCCATGTCTCACTCTCTATCAGTCACCTTCAGCTTTGGCAGAGTCACGGTCAATTCAAAACAACTTCTTTTTCACACTCTTTGTCTCAAGGCTTTTGGCTGTTTATTTCAGGCTCTGAATCTTCAATGTCAGCGTAAGTGCCGTCCTCAGATTCTGCGGTCTTTTTGATCAAAGTATCAAGTGGCTTTAGCGCTTCCTTAGGTACTATGTTAGCTACATCTTGATTGTCTATCTTGCTGGTAACCAAAGGAAGCTGTATGTCACCACTTTCTTCCTCTGGTTCATCTGAGTCTTCCTCTGCTTCGTCTTCTCCATCAGCTGAATCTCCCTGTTTTTCACTCCAGTCTTCATTGGGTGTCTCGGTTTCCTCATCCTCCTTTTCAGAAGCATTGGAATCCTCTTCATTATTATCATGACTTCCATCTGGGATGTTAATACATTCACATTGTGTAACATCATCCTCTGGGTTGTTTTCTCTGATTTCTTCTTTGGTTTCTGATTTTTCCTCCATCTCCTCATCCTCTTCTGGTTTAAGCTCCACTACATCATTAGTATCTTCTTGACAAGTGACATCACTTTCTGGGCATCCACTCTCTGGTTTGTTGGAATTATCCTCTGATTCACTGACAGCATTCTGTCCTTCATCTTGCTCGGATTCATCTTCTGTATCGTCTGTAGATTCCACCTTTCCCGTTTGAGTTTCTTCAGCTTCCTCTCCTGCAGATGTACCTTCTGCTCCAGATTCTTCCCTGCTGTCACTTTCATCAGTCTCATTTTCTCCTGCTTCAGGCTGTCCTGAGTCTTCCTCTGTGGTTTCATGCTTTTCAGTCTCGCCCTCTGTTGTTAAAGCCTCTGTGCAATCTTCACAAGTCAATTCATTTTCACCAGATTCCACCTCTTCCTTTCCAGGTTCTTCCGATTCATCTCCAGTTGTTTCACCTTCTACTAGCTTCTTACTGTTATCTTCATCATTTTCTTCTTCTTTACATTCTTCATTAGCACTGCTTTCTCCGATCTTTTCAGACGACTCTGTCTTGTCTGACTCATCACTGGTTTCATCTGCTTCCTCTGCCATTTCATTTTCGCTTGTGGCAGCAATTTCCTTTTGCTCAGCAATCTCACCCTCACTTAGTTTTTCATCCGTTCCCTTCACGTCCGACTCATCTGAACTGGTGTCTTTGTTAAATTCGTGCTCGGCATCTGTCACATCTTCTGCTGCCTCTTCCTGAGCGACCTCAACAGCAGCTTTCTTCAGCTCATCTTCACTTGTGACAGCACTCTCTTTTGCTTCAGAAACCTCATCTTCTGACTCAGATTCACTTGCACTGGCGGTGTCCACCGCCACTGCTGTGTCTGAGTCATGTTCAGTTGTTGCAGCCTCTTCTGCTGCACCATAATCTTCAGCTTCATTGTCACTTGTGGTTCCTTCCACGTTTTCTTCAGCAGCAGCGCCTCTGTTAGGTTCATTCTCGGTTGAAACAGCAATCTCTGTTTCGATCACCCGCTCATCTTCGGTTGTTTCTTCAGCTGGTTCTGTGGTGTCATCCTCCTCTGTTGTCTCATCTTCATTTGTGGTGGCATCTAGGTCCTCTCCTGAATCATTTTCAGTGACAGCACCAATCTCTTCACTATTGTCAGCATCTTCTGCTTTAACAGCTTCCTCATTGTCAGTTGCTTCCACTGCAGTTTCATCCTTTGAGTCACCTTTTCCTGCTGAAGAAATCTCTTCACTTACAGCTGTCTTGTCTTCAGCTGATGCTGCTCGATCTGGTTCTTCTGACAATTTGTTCGTGTGATTGTTTTCACCCTCAGACTCCTCTGCACTGATAGCAGGGATCTTCTCTTCATCAGTGACTGTTCCTTTTTCCACAACCTCGTCTTCCTCAGATTCACGCTCACTTGTGGCCACCATGCTGCTCTCGACAGCTACATTTTCATCTTCAGCTGTGGATGCTTCGTAAGTGCCTTCCGTAAGTTCATGCTCACTTGTAGCGGCTGTCTCTCTTTCTACAAGAAACTCATCTTCAGTTGTTGCTATTTCAGATGGTTCATTTGACAGATCGTTACTTGTGACATCATTTTCCTCTTCTTCTTCATTTGTGGTGGCATTTAAATCTTCGTCAGAGTCATCTTCGCTGGTAGCATCAGTCTCTTCTCCATCATCAACCTTCAGTGATTCCACAGCTTCCTCACTCTCTGATTCATGATCAGTTGAGGATACCATAGCAGTATCTTTGTTTTCAATCTCATCTTCAGCATTTTCATGCTTTGATTCTGCTTTTCCTGCGAGACCAGTCTCTTTTTCTGCAGCTGTCTCATCCTCAGTTGTTGCCGGGTCACCTGGTTCTTCTGTAGATTCGTCACCTGTAGCTGTGTCAGTGCTTTCATCTGCAGACTCGTCTTCACTAACGGTAGACATTTTCTCTTCTTCAGGGAGTATTTTTTCTTCCCAGACTTCATCTTTTCCTTCTGTGGTGGCTTCTACTGCTGTATTTTCATCTTCAGTAGTAGTATCTTCAGCAGACTCCTCATCTGACTCATCTTCACTCAAACTGGCAGTCTCATTTTCTGCAGTAAGTTTACCTTTACACCATGCTTCTTCTTCTTCTTTTAAAAATTCATCAACTATAGCTAAGTCTTCATTCACTGCTTCCTCCTGCATCATATGCACTCTCTTCTTTACCTTAAACCTCCCTGATTTACTTTCTTCTGGCATCGGATTTTGTTCAGCTGTTGCTCCTGCAACGTGTGTGTCTTCATCTTGAACCATGGTACCTTCAGCAACATCTTCCTTAGACTTATCTTCACTTGAGGCTTCAGTGTCTTCACTTTCATCTTCTTCTGTTGGTCCATTTAGCTGTTCATCAGCTGTTGCATCACTTCCATCTGCTTTCATCAGCTGATCTTTCCGAATTCTCATTTGCATGATCATCTGCATTGATGGCAGCAATGTATTCTTTACGGTTAACCATTCCTTCTTTGCTGCTTCTTCCTCAGGTTCATGTTTAGCATCAGATGTCAGAGTAGTCTCTTCTGTTGAAGTCTCTACTGTGTCTTCCTTAGGGTCATCTTCACTCGTAACCACAATATGTTTTATTAGAGCACTCTTATTATAATGTACAGCATCTTCTTGTTTTGGGAGTTCATCATTTGACCTGATAGCTTCAGCAAATTCTTCTCCATTTGTGGATACAATTTGCACAATTTTTCCTGATTCTTTTGGTTCATGTAACAATTCATCAGTTGTGGCATCCTTTTCATTAGTCCTCATCTTCTGCATGATCAGCTGCATTGATGGCAGTATTATGTTCTTTGCTATCAAACATTTATTCTTTGCTCCTCCTTTGTCATATTCCTGTTTAGCTGTTGATGCCAAAAACGACTCTTCTACTGACATTTCTTTCTGAGTCTTATCTTCGCTTGTTTTATCATCTTTTTGTTTTCGCAGTTCATCACCTATGTCATTGGCATCATTCTCCTCCTTATTTTCTTCAGCAACAGTTTTTTCAGGCATTTCTTTGGCAACATGTTCTTTTGCGTCATTCTTTTCAGAAACCTCATCACAAACTGCATCTTGACTCATATCATCTGCTGCCTTTTCATCTGCTGCAAATTCAGAGATATCTTCAGGGCCTGGACGTACTTCTCGCACTTCCCTTAAAGCTTTAACAATAACTTTTTCCACAAGGGTTTCTGCCGCTTGAGTTTCATGAATATTTCCAGGGTGAGATGCACACTTGATTGCCGTGGCAGCAGGTACAGGTGTCATCGAATCTCCCTGAAGAGGTGTCCTACACGTCATTTCTTTCTTAATGCACGATTCGCATTGACAGCATTCATCGCCGTTTTCACTGCGCTGGTCACTATAAGACGTTCCTGTTGCTGAATCGTCACTTTTTTCTGCATGTGAATCAGTCGATGGTTTGAGGTTGACCTTCAGTTTCCGTCTTCTCTCTTCTGCTTGTGTCGTTGAAACACGGGATTTTGTCTCTCTTGGAGGTCTTGGTTGGCCTTTTTGGCCTTGAATTTTCCACAGTTCTCTGTCAATACTTGCTTGGATTCTTTTGTGAACCTCAGCTCTAAGTTCATTAATCGTACTGTCAAGTTGCTCACTATCTCCCAGGTTCCATCGAGTTTTGAACTCATTCATCGCTTTGATATAATGAGTCATGAACTGTTTTTCAATTTTATTTAATAAGGTTAAGACCCAAGCAGGATCATCTTGTGAAATCATTTTAGCTAGCTCTTCTCTTTCTATGAGGAGAAGGCTCTCAGAGTTGCTGTTCTCTGAAGAATCGGTTTCAGCTTCTGGAAGTTTTTGGCCCTCGCTGAAATTTCTTGCACTCTCGTTTGAGGAATGTGGTGTTTCAGATTGTTCTCTTGGACTATCACTGCTTGCTGGATAATCTTCCTTTTGCTCATCTTCACACATTCCTTCTGCCTTTCTTACTGATGTGCTCTGAACATCTGCATCTGTTTCAACTTCACACCCTTGTTGTACCTTCTTAAACATATCCACAGTGGCGTGAGGCTCAGAAACATCACCATTCACGTCATTGCCACTCTTTACACCATCACTGCTGTTCCCGGAGCCTGTGGAGCCACTGTTGACATCCACGCCAGACGATGACGTATGATTGAAATCATCATCTGCAAAATGGTGATCATCTTTCCGTAATGCATGTTCATTTTCAGGAGGATCACAAAGCCAAAGGGACTGAAGAATACCCATGAGTTCTTGATACCTTTCATTTTTTTCATTGGCATTTTTTGGATCATGGTCTATTAGCTGCAGCTTCACAAGGCAATCCAAAAAACCTCTAGCTGAGGAGCTCAGTTTACGTCCATAAGCTGGAGAAATTTCTGGTAAACTGTTGCATCTGTCTAGCTTCGGATTTAAAAGGACTTTCATCACTTGTATGGAAGAGTTAAATACTGTTGAGGCATTGTCTGCATCAGTAGAGGCGTTATCTTCCTTTGGTGTTTCTTTGCTTGTTTCGCAGTCATTATTAGGAAGACATTTCTTTGCCTCCCCTTCTACTGGGCCTTTTGAATTCTCAGTTGGATTGTTAACAGTATCCGCTGTGTTGATTTCTTCTGTTGTGGGGACAGTTTTTGGTCCATCGCAGTTTTCATTAAATTCCTCTACGTCCTCTAATTCACCCTCTGCTGGCAGTGATTTCAGCCATTCGTTTACAACCTCAGTAGGGGATGCGTTGGGTAGGCTGGATGGGACCAGGTCAAAATCATCAACTTCGGTGCTCTTATGCAGATATTTGCTGCTTCCGTCAGTTTTCTTGTCAGTGACACTTCCACCACTTTCCTTAGTATCCAGGTCACCGTTTATCCTGTGAGGAACATTACGTTTTGATTGACTGTGTGCTGGAGACTCACACATCTCTTTGATGATATCTGAACTAGACAGAGTTTGTGACAAGTTACTTTCATTTGACTCTGTGTGAGATATGACATGTTCATTTTCTTTCTGCTGCTTTGCTCTCTGACTTGTTTCTGACATTGCTGAATGTCTTCCAGAGTTTGATTTGGCAGTAGATCGGCTCTTTTCCTTTGGCTTCATTACTTCTAAATTTAGTGGAGAAACACTGGTCCGCTCAGAAGAGACATCTGTAGTTGTGGCACTTTTCTTTCCACTGATCTCAGATGTTTTGGACTTTTTTGAAGATGATGAAGCCTTGGACTTCGTTGACATGGCTGTAGGAGCTCTGGTTTCATTTTCCCCAACGGTCACGATGGGGACATCTGATTTGCTTAAAATGTCAGATTTTGTTGATTTTACTGACCTTTTTGATTTTGCTGACACAGCACTCTGTGCTTTCTCAGATATCTCTTCAGTATTCTCTTCCTTAGGATGGCCAGAACTGTTTGTAGTAGTGATTTCTGGACCTTGTAATTTATTTGACTTTGATGAACTAACTGATTTGGTTGACATGGCACTGTCATCAGCTTCTTCTTCATGTCCAACCGTTTCAGTGGCGGTTGTTCCAGATATATTTGATTTTTTTGTTCTTCCTGAGGTGTTTGACTTCACTGATAAAACACTTGGACTCCTCTGTGCTGGATCTGCCTTATCAGCTACCTGCTCCAGCACTTTTGATTTCCCTGATTTTTGAGAAGTTCTTGTTTTTGCAGATACTGATGTTGCATTTGACTCGGTAGACATTGAGGTCATTGCTCTGTTCTCTGAGTCTTCTGCTGTATTTTCATCAGTGTCATTTAAACAATTTTCAGTAGATATAATGGAGGGACCAGTTGTTTCTTTCTCCACATTGGCTTCATGATTTTCTTTGCCTACAGAGGGTTTTGACTTAGCAGTTTTTGAAGAAATGTTGGATTGCAGTGATTTGGTGGATCGGGCTGATTTTGCTGACAAGGAGCTTAGAGATCTCTGTACAGTCTCCAAATCATTGGCATTGTTGTATTCTGAAGATATTTCACAAGTTGTCGAGCTCCTTGATGACACAGAAACATTTGAATTGTTTAATTTGGCCGACACGCTGCTTGGTGACCTCTCCTCAGTTTCTTCTTCAGCATGTTCCTCAGCAGAATTTCCAGCAAAAGCTCGAGATCCTTTTGCAGATCTCCTTGAACCACTTGACTTTGCTGACATAGAACTTTGTGCTCGCTCTACATTTTCTTTGTTAGCTGATGTACAACTTGTTGTTGTCTTTGTGCTTTCTTCGTCAGCACTTCCTTCACCTGGAAATGTGCCTTTTGATTTCGTAGATCGTGTTGAGGCATGCGACTTTGCAGATCCAGCTGAAATGGCACTAACTGCTCTCACTGCATCTTCTGCCACATGCTCTTCAGCAGACACATCAGTGACTTCATCAACGTCTTCAGTAATATCAGAGGTATTGGATCTTTCTGTAACATGGGAAATATTTGATTTGACTGACATTACACTTGGAGATCTTTCTTCAGTTTGTGATTTGTCATTATCTTCATTGGAGGTCTCACAATTTGGTACATGAGAACATTTTGACTTTTTGGATTTTGAAGAAATATTTGACCTTATCGTTTGTGTTGACAATGAGCTCGCTCTTCCCTCAGACTCTGCATCAGCAATCTCAGTGCTGTGTTCAGAAGGGATAGTAGTAGCTTTTGATTTCTTAGATTTCACAGAAACATTTGACTTGGTGGATTTTGCTGATCTCTGTGATTTACTGCTTACAGGTCTTTCAGTATGATCAGAATCATGAGATATTTCTTCTACTGGGGCAGCCAATAATTTTGACTTATTGGATTTGGCAGAAATAGAGGATTTTGCTGACATTGCACTTTCTGCTCTGTTTTGAGGTTCATCCTCATCATTTCCTTGCGCTGGTAATTTATGCTGTGAAGCAACTTTTGAAGCTTTAGATTTTAGAGATATAGTAGATACATGGGATTTAGGTGTGGCGACTCTCTCTTCAGCTGGAGGCTCTGCTGAACATTTTGATATACCTGATATTTCAGAAAAATTTGAATCAGCCGAATGGAGTGACATTGAACTCACTGATCTGCTTTCAGTGTGCTCCTCTTTATTTTCCTTTTCTGCAATGCGATCACATTGAATGGCAGAAGATTTTGATTTTTTTGAAACTTCTGAAGTCTTTGACTTTGCTGATTTTGCTGAGCTGGCAGACATATTGCTTGGAGACCGATCTTCATGGTCCTCCAGATCACAGATATCGTTTTCATCTGGACAATGAAATACTTTTGACACTGAGGATTTTTCAGAAATAGCTGACTTTTCAGTTTTGGTTGACACTGCACTCGGTGCTCTTTCCTCAGTTTCATCTTTAGGGTCTCCTACATCAGCAGTATGCGCAACTGTGCCAGACTGATCTTCAGAAGCATTTGATTTGACCGATATTACAGAAGCATGCGATTGAGTGGATTTAACTGACAAAACACTGGGTGATCTCTCTGCAGAATTTTTAGATCTCTCAGAAACATGTGACTTAACTGACTTGACTGATAAGCTGCTTTGTGCTCTTTCTTCCCTTTCATCATAGATCTTTCTGTCCTCTTTAATTGGAGCATCAACAGATCGTTTTGACTTATTTGATCTTGCAGAAATATTTGACTGGACAGACAATGAGCTCATTGCCCTCTCTTCAGTTTCACCTTTAACATCCTCTGTATTGTCAATGCAGTCTCCTAAAAGAGCTTCAGATATATCTGATGTTCCAGATGTTGCAGAGACATTTGACTTTGCTGATTTTCCTGATCTAACTGACAGATTGCTTGGAGCTCTCTCTGTGGGTTCCTCATGATCAACTTTATTTTCTTCCATTCTTGTTGATCTACTAGATTTTCCAGAAACTGTTGATTTTTCAGTTCTGGATGAAATTGCGCTCTGTGATCTCTCTTGAGTTTGATCTTTGCCATCTATTTTATCAGTACCACTACACAGAACTTCAGAAATATTTGATTTCACAGATTTGTTTGAAGTATGTGACCTCGCTGATTTAGCTGATAAAGCACTGGGTGATCTATCTGCAGACTTTTTAGATCTATCGGAAACATGTGACTTAACTGATTTGGCTGATAAGCTGCTTTGTGCTCTTTGTTCCGTTTGCTCTTTGTTATTTTCTTCATCAGCACTCTCTGACTTTTCTTTAGTTGATGCATCAGCAGACTGGTTTGACCTATTTGATCTGGCAGAAATATCTGACTGCGCAGATGCTGATCTCATTGTGCCATCTTCACTCTCCCCTTCAATAATTCTTTCGTCAGAAGGGTCAACATTGTCTTCTAAGACAGCTACAGAAACATTTGATCTCTTTGATGCTGAAGAAACATTCGACTTTGCTGATCTTTCTGATCTGACCGACAGATTGCTTGGAGCTCTCTCTGTGTGTTCCCTAACTATATTATTTTCCAATATCGTTGATCTACTAGATTTTGCAGAAACTGTTGATTTTTCAGTTCTGGATGAAATTGTACTCTGTGGTCTCTCTTGAGTTTGATCTTCACCATCTATTTTATCAGTATCACTACACAGAACTTCAGAAATATTTGATTTCACAGATTTGTTTGAAGTATGTGACTTTGCTGATTTAGATGACAAAGCACTGGGTGATCTATCTGCAGACCTTTTAGATCTGTCGGAAATATGTGACTGACCTGATTTGGCTGATAGGCTACTTTGTGCTCTTTGTTCTGTTTGCTCTTTGTCATTTTCTTCATTAGAGTTCTCTGAGTTTTCGCTACCTGGACCATTAACAGAATGATTTGTTCTGTTTGATCTGGCAGAAATATCTGACTTAGCTGACTTGGAAGACATAGCACTCACTGCTCTCACTTCACTCTCACCTTCAACGATTCTTTCCTCGGGATGGTCAGCAAAGTCTTCCAAGCAAATTTCAGAAACCTTTGATCTTTTAGATGTTGCAGAAGCATTTGACTTTCCTGATTTTCCTGATCTGACTGACAGATTGCTTGGAGCTCTCTCTTCATTTTCCATATGAAGAGATATATTTTCCTCTTCGTGATCTTTTGACTTGGGAGATTTTGCAGAATTAGTTGACTTTCCAGATCTGTTTGATACTTCACTCTGTGCTCTTTCCTGAGTTTCCTCTTCGCCATATCTTTCATTGGCTTGGCAAGCACAAACTTCACAGGGTTTTGGTTTATTAGATGTGTTAGAAGCACGTGACTTTGCTGATTTAGCTGACAAAGCACTTGGTACTTGCTCTGCAGATATTTCAGAAACATGTGACTGAAGTGATTTAGCTGATAAGCAGCTTGGTGGTCTTTGTTCAGTTTCCTCTTCATCATTTGCTTCTTGAAGCATCTCAGTGCCTTCGTCTTTTGATTTAAACGATGTTGCAGAAATATCTGATGTAATTGACAATGAGCTCACTGATTCTCCTTCAGTCTCACCTTCAATATTAGTTTCTTCAGAAGCATCACCACAGCTTTCAGGAGTAACTGCAGAAGCATTTGATTTTAAAGATTTAGCAGATGTGGTTGATGTATTGCTTGGAGGTCTTTCTTCATATTCATCATTAACTGCAGCCTGTTCTTCAGCTTCAATATCGGTGGGCACGGACATATTCGATTTGGCTGAAGTGTTTGACCCTTTTGATTTTCCTGACACATTGGACTGAACTGATTTTACTGACAAAGAACTTGGTCCCCTCTCCTCTCCCTGTTCTCCGTGTTTGGATCTGCTGGATTTTGCAGAAACACTGGACTTTATAGACTTTGCTGATTTGACTGACAGTATGCTTTGTGGTCTCTCTCCGCTTTGCTCTTCAGTATTTATGTCATCTGATGAACCAACACATTCAGTTGCATCAGGAGGATCGGGCCTCTTGGATCCTTTAGATCTTGCTGATGAATTAGAGTTAGCTGACATGGCATCAGTTGCCTCCCTTGTCTCTTCTGTCTCAACGTTTAACTTTCTAGATGTTGCAGATTCATTTGACTTGACAGACCTAGCTGACATTACACTTACTGTTCTTTCAGATCTTTCCTCTGCATTTCCTGTATGTGGATCTTCAGATGTGCTTGACTCTGTAGATTTTGCTGAAGTGTTTGAATTCCCAGACATGGTGCTTTGTGTTCTCAGTTCAGTTTCATTCTCATCTGGCTTTTGAATGCTTTTTTCTGCAGATGCCTCAGGTGACTCTACAGAAGAATCTGAAGCAGCTGATGTGACACTAGGTGTCCTCGGCTGAGCTTCCTCCTTTGTTTCTTTTTCACCTAGGAAAGAAGATGCCCTCGATCCTCTGGATTTAATAGACATCTCTGACTTTGCTGAGATGGGACTTATTGGTTTTTCTTCTTCAACATCTTCCTCTGATTTATGTTGTTGATGCTCAGACTTCACAGATTTTTCAGATTTGGAGGATTTAACAGACATGCTGCTCAGTGGTCTTTTGTGTGTTCCATTGTCATCACATGCTTGAGATCCTCCAACTGCAACATCCAAAACATCCGATTTGGATTTTGTCGAGGCATTTGAATGAACTGACATGGCACTTTTAGACCTGTTCTCCTCTTCATCCTTTGTCTCTGGGTCCTGTATTTTGCCAGACACAGTTGATCTGCAAGAGACATTAGATTTTAAAGACATGGCACTTGAACAATCTCTTTGTATTTTGCCTTCCTCTTCAGCTCGGGTGTAGATTTGTCCTTTTGTATTTTCTTCAGATACTCCACAATGACAAGCGTGTGAGGGTTTAGATTTTTTTGACTTGCTAGATTGTCCTGAAGCATTGGATGTTGTATCTTGAGGACTCTGGGGTTGATTTTGCCTAGTAATGGATCTTGTTTGTTCTGATTTCTCATTTAGACAGTTATACAAAGTGGAAGATTGCACGTTGCACTTTGGTGAGCAAGCCTCACTCCCGATGGTGCAATACTCTACAGTTTCAGCTGCCTCAATAGTCTGCTTCACACAAGTCTCTGTCTCCACCACTTGTTCAGTAAGCTCTTCGCTTGATCTAGATACTACTGTCTTTCTAGAGACCACTGTATGTGAAGATGCACTTGAGCTAGATGTTTGAATGCGGCGACTCGCCCCATGTGTTCCTGGTACATTTTTCCAGATTTCATAATCCTGGCAGTGACTGCAGCAGTGAGGACAATGAGGTTCTTCTTGATGTCTCTGATAGTGCTGACTCATGAAATGGTCATCTGGCTGAACAGCAGAGATGTTTTCAGATTCAAGATAGCTCGGAAAGTGTGGGTTATTGTTTCCTTGGTGGTAGTCACAGGTCCTGCCTGTGGTCTTTCTTACTTCCGTGGACCAGTGCACTGTTTCATCATTTTGCAGTCTAAAGCGCACTTTCATCTCCATTGATAAACTGCCATCTTTATTAACACGTACACATTTCTCTATATCATCTTCCCTCACCCCATCACCAGTGGGTGGGCAAGAGTTGACATTGTCTGGTGAATCAGTTCCATCTGGGCCTGACTTGTCAGATGACACTGACTGCCTGATAACTTTGTTTCCAGATTCCAGGTTTGGATGGATGACACTTTTCTTTGAAGGGAGTCCTTGATTTTTCATGCAGCAGTTAAAGAAAAAAGACAAATATTTCAAATTAGGCCTTTTGTTAAAGGTGTACGTTAACAAAAGTCATTTAATTTAGATGCTAGAGAACCATCCATAGCATATCTTTCAGTACTTCTACTTTGTAGTTACTACTTGTAAGAATGTAATTATCACTTTAAGAGTTTTTCCTACTCTCATGTCCGTCAGTGCAGCCACCGGAGCGTGACCTCACACTCAGCTTTGGAAGTTTATCGTCGGATGTTTTCCGAAAGTTCTCCACAATCAATGGGTGAGAAGGCTCCCGGCCGACACAGACAAGAACGCCGGGGCACTGCAGAAGACTCTGAACGCTGTCGATCTGAAACCAAATAACGAATACGTTTGTTTACAGTTTACTGTTATCTTTAAAGGAACACAGGGAAGATGATTTAAAAAGAATGCCATGGTTAATTGCAATTAATCAGCAAAAGTAAGAATTTAATGCCATCTGAAGAGTGAAACTAACTTACCCTTATCAGTGTTGTCAGATTCTGATTGATCTCTAGCTGCCATTGTTTTGATCCAAAACAATCTAATAGCTTCTCGCTATATACTGTAGGGGAAACATCATTTCCCCCTTTAACAATCTGATCTGGCACACTAATTAGAGTCCCATATTTCAATCAGGACCAGTTAAAAGTTATACCTTTGGTTTTTGGGCTCTTTCTCACCTTCCCATCTGTACAGCAAGCTTAAGGTGAAGAGGACAATGATCAACTAATTTAATTTAAATTAAATCTAATTTAGAAACAGTATAACAGTGATGAGGTGAGATGAAGGTGGGCTATAGAGCGCCTTGCATCACCTGCAGAAACTCTAGGAAGGCTAAAATTGCTTAAATAGCGCTCCCTGTACAAGACCTGGCGAAAGGATACCCAGATGGGCCGTGAGCTGAGCCATCAGCGGATGAGACCTGGATTTGACAGCAGCTGATGTACATATTGGGATTACATAACAACATATTTGTGAAAATGGATGTCATACTAAGAATGGAAAATACTGCATGTTTTTGTTTCCTAACATTATGAATACATTTTAAAACATTTCAGTGTTATTTTGTTACGGTGATTTTAGTCAGGTGGGGTCTTTCTTTTATTGAGTAATGATGATAATAATAAATATCTTCATTGTGTCAGGACACTGCCACCTCTCGAGCACAGCGGCAGAGTTCTAAATCCCTGCCAAAGAAGGGTGTGAATCATGCAGTGAGTCAAGACAAAGCATCTATCCTAATCCCGGATGATCTCTGTGAAATGACGGTGCATTGCAATGATGAACTGCCATTGTGAGCAGCATCAGCGTGGCTCAGCAGTACTGGCAGCTTGCTGAGTGTGCAAAAGAGTTTGACTAAATGTCTGCGTAATTCATCTATATTAATAAAGCTCAGACACAAAGATTTAGTTAGTTTTAGGGTACCTCCAGCTATTATCAAAAGTTTGATAATAAAACTGGACATCATGCAAGCTAATTATCAGCATTAGGATGACTTGTCTCCTGCGTCAGAGATGATTAACCTGAAACAATTCATATTAATCTCAGGGTACAGAGTGTGTACTAACCTTTCAAACAAAGGCCTAGCAGGACTAACCTTCTTGGTTAATATATGTTTGTTGTTTTTGATCCTTTTTTTCAGATTTCAGAGAATGCAATCTTTTAAGGTTTAAGGACTTATTTTGTTAAGCATTAATAAATGAATTAATTAAATCCTCTTATAGGCATGTTAAATATGTCTATAACAGAATTAAATGACCAAAACACTCTTAGAATATTATGAATCTGTAATATTGTTCTTTCTATGTTTTTAATATTAAATACTCATGTTCTCTACTGTCAGTCATAAAATGCTGTGAAAGCATGTAGCCCCGAAGTATTGAGTGTTTTGTTGATTTTTATCTGGCTCGTGTACGGCTCGTTGTGATGACAGTGCAGTTCTGAATTTTAAAGCCACTGCTGTTAAAGGCAGATGAATGGCTTCATCTGTGGTCACACGAAGCCCAGGTGAAGATAATTAATTGCCATGGTGGAAGACACATTTCTGAGACACCTCTGGTATCAAAGTAGGGGAGTTTCAACGTTGACCTGTTTCTTCTCTCTCAAAAATAGCACTGATATGATCAAGATTAATGGGTTTTGGAGCAATCTCCACAATCTGAATGCATGGGTGAGGGAATATCCCCATTTCATTCCCTCACACCCTCATAGTATCTTATCTGGGATTATAACTATTTGCAAAGTTGATGAAATGATGCTATTTATTTATTGACTTATTATGAATGTGCCTGTTGTACAATAAAGAGGCTTATAGAGCAATTAAACACCAAGTAAAAATAGAAAATCTTGTAGATTTGAATGTATTAGTGTGCAGATTCCTGTTTTTACTGAAATGCTTTGTTGGAGGAGCAAAAAAATCTCCTGCAAGTGTTCGCTTCTTTTGAGATCTAATGGTTTTTATAATGTTTTATTATAGGAAAATCAACGCACGGCTTTGCAGGATTCACAAGCTTTGTGTGTGCTGTGGACCAAAGAATTAGATTATATGCAAAAGAGTCTTGGTTTAAGACACGAATACAGTCTCAGGGGTCACAATGGTCCCGGTTCCAAGTCAGGATAAACGAGAGGGTTTCATCAGGAAATGACATGCAGTGTAAAAATTTGTGCCTAACTAACATATGGTCCTTGGTCCTAACCAAAACTTCTTCCTGAAAGTAGTAGGAAACCATTCCTGTCTAAAATCTTATCTAACTCCTGTTATTCAGAAGGTTTGTGAGAAAAAATCAGGAAACCAAAACTTAATATGTGAATTTCTAGCTCCAGCTATTTATGACCTCACCTTGTGCCCGCCCACAGTGTACAGCTTCCTGATGTGGTACTGCATGAGCTCGGAAACCTCCTCTAAGAAAAGCCCCAAACTGCGTAGACCCCTGCGGTGCAAGATGATGGTCTTTCTGAATGAGGGGTCGCTGTTCTTCACCAACACCAGCTTCTTACTGTATCGGTGATGATGACGTTCGTGGCCCAGAGGTGTTTCTTCAGGCCTGCTCGGCCCACTGAGAACATAGTGGTGTGGATGGTGGTGGTGACATGACGGGTGAGTGTGATAGAAAGGTGACAACTGAGTCTCTACTGCTTCCAAGGCATGGGCGTGTCTACACTCTGAGCAAACATAGCATTCGGCTGTGGGTTCATGATGGGCCACCATGCCATGCTGGGGGATTCTGGGTAAGCGGGTGCTGTGGCGCTTAAAAGGAATAGAAGACCTGTGGATGCCTTCGCCTCCTACAGCGTCAAAACAGTGAAAGTGGCGTCTGTGGGAAGACATTTTGGACTGTGGTGACGTTGATGATTGGGTTTGTGCTCAGAATGGAGGAAGGATGAGCTCAGGTGAGCAGAAGAAGGGGCCAGGTCAGCTTCGGCAAACAGTCCTGAAAGGTTGCCATGTTTTTCTGCAGCTGCCTAGGGTGAGGTGTTGCACCGCACATCTGCATAACCTCCGCTCACTAGAAACAATGTGGAAAAAATAGATGAAAATGCATGCGTTGAAAGGAGATTACATTAGAAACATCTTACAAACTAGCTTTTTTGATTTCCATTTGATCAATCACATTTGAGCAGGTAAACAGCTGGTGTGGAGAGAAAAAAGGGCCACATTTGTTGAATCTAATTTAAATCCACTGACTACTGTCTGATGATGAAATATGAAAATCTGTTAGTACAGCGGTCCCCAACCCCCGGGCCGTGAGTCGAGAGTTGAGGCTCAGGTGTGAAATGTATGGTTTTCAGGGTTTTTATCGTTTTTCAGCGTTATTTTGTTATCGTTTTTATCGTTAACTCGGTTTTCCTGGGTCTTTTCACGTGTGTTATGAATAAATCTTCTTTTTTTCGGTACCATTACTAGTTTTATTTTGTTGTATTTATCCGCGACACCTTAAAGGCCGGTCCGTGAAAATATTGTCGGGCATAAACCGGTCCGTGGCGCAAAAAAGGTTGGGGACCGCTGTGTTAGTGTAATAAGTTTGATACTGCTCTACATTTATCTTGTCTTATTTGTAAAAAAAAATTTAAAAATAGCTGTTGTGTCATTTTATCCTTTAATATGTTTAGCCAATGTTCCAGTAAGGCTTTCGTTTCAGTATTTCTACATGTCCACATTTATGACTGAAAAACACAGGCAAACATATTCCAGTTAAAATCGGATTCATTAAGAGATTTACACCCAAATCAATTACGCCCAAACAAAAAATGTGACATTATATATTGTGACACACGCAGCATGCATGTGCCATATATACAGACTGCTTTGAAGATCAAAGAGTGCATAAAGGCAGGGATAATGAGGCTACAGCCACAAATAAATCCTTAAGTGACTTTAAATAACAAGCTTAAGTCTCTGCTCACAGTCGAAGTGGACATTACCTCAGCGACTGCGCCTGTCACTGACAAAAATAGACTCTCGAACAGCTTCTCCTGCAATTAAAATTCAAGGATTACCTAAAAAAAGCAGAAATATCTGCAATAGGCACAATGCAGCCTTACTGTGACAATACTTGGACGTAAACTCAATTCATTGTTGCCGGATGGAAAAGGGATGCATGCCCACTATGAAATGCACATAAAAATGCCACAGATTTTTTTTTTTAAATGGTAAAATAGGCTAAGCTTGACTGACACCTATAAAGAACACGCTTGGCTGTTATCCTTGTTCTTGTATTAGTAATTTTTTTAGTCAAACAGCCTGTGTTTCCTGAAGCTGAACATTTCCAAAGAGAAGAAGAGCCAGTTATTTTGTATTCTCACATGTCATGTTGCCATTTTTAGTCGTTTAACTTTTAAGTCGTTTAACGTTTAAATATCCATTTATATCCCCCAAAAGGTTTTTGATTATTGAAGCCAAAACATGAGTCGAAAAGGGTTTTTTGTTGCCCACAATCAGGATTATGAATGTCCATTTCACTTAGTTTATGTGTAAATGTTTATTTTGATTCTTTTATAAATGTATTTAATCTTAATTATATCGTCTGTGTTCTATACTAATAAGTACCTCAGTGTCCTGTTATGTGTGACACTGAATGCTGCCACTGTTTCGTGTCACACATTACAGGTGTCTCCTCTATCAGTGTGAACTGATAGTTTATATGTGCTTGTATAAACTGGATGGTTTATGGAAATAAACAATTTCCAAACATAATGCACATAATATTTTATTTTTAAAAATGCCTCAGTGTAATATTCAATTTAATAAATTAAATACCAGTTATCTACCCTACAAAATTTGTTTCTTTTTCACCAAACTGCAATATATAGAAGAGTTCGTGTATGCAGATGGGTCCACTGAGGTTGATACGTAATGTTACAACATGAAAGAAAAAATTACCCAGCATATCTTAAATACTTAATGTGATCTCACACAACTGAAACTGCAGTTCATCGTTGTGGTCATTGCATTTCTGCTGTGGAAATTATATTAATTTACCAGCAAGTTTAAGTGCAGCAGCTCAATCAAAATGTGTAGTAACTACAGTCAAAAGCATACACATAATCAGAGGCAGTATACTTACATGATCCACAGTTATAGTCCAGGCAATTAAAACAACTTCCAAAACTATAGAATGTGAGATGTAAACTCCCAGAGAAGCACCATGGCTATTGCAAGGAAAGAAAAGAGAAACCAATGAAAAGTCCTCCCTGAGGAAGCGGGCCTACCTGCTAATCAGATACATGGGATGCTAAGGATAGACTGAAAAGCCTTGCTAATCACCCTGAGATTGGACTGAAATCTGCTGAAGCTTTGGACACATGACTTGGACTTCACCATTGCATAAAGGGTGTTAAACACCCTAAGTTAAACACTTAGAAAGCAACTCCTGTCTCAGTAAAATTCAATGACTAAGCACGATACCCTGCTTTACCTTCATAGCAAACATATATAT